TCAACTCCTTTACACCGTCAACTCTAATACACCCTCATCTCCATTACACCGTCAACTCCTTTACACTGTCAACTCTATTATATTGTCAACTGTTAAATTTGTCAACTCCATTACACCGTCAACTCCATCATTGTCACTCTATTACACCTCATCTCTGTTACACCATCAACTGCTACACCATCAGCTCTTTTAAACTCATGTGTTTCTTTTAATGTGTTGCAGTGTGTGTGTGTGTGTGTGGGTTTGGCACTCTTACATAGGGCGTCCTCTCGCCATATTTGCTCCAGAAGGTCATCTTGACGGTGTTGTGGTGTCCGGTGCGCTGGTCAAACGTGCGGCAGCTCTGGAACGGAGGACTGTAAAGGTGCAGACTCACGGCCGGCTCTGTGTGGCTCACATTCTCCACACGGTGGAGTCCCAGAGAGTCTGCACACACACACACACACACACACACACAAAGAGGAGATTCTGCTTATTATACTGCTCTGTGTATGAGGGAGAGAGAGAGAGAGTGTGTGTGTGTGCGCAGATGTGTGTGTGCGTGTGCATGCATGTGTGTGAATGTTTCAGTGAGTGTGCGTGAATGTGTGTGTGTGTGTGTGTGAGTGAGTGTGCATGCATGTTCATGCATGTGCTTGTAAGTGTGTGTGTGTGTGTGTGTGTGTGTGTGCGCACCGTTGATGTACGCGCACTGGTTCTCCTGCAGCACGCTCTGGCCGCGGGGCTTCATGCCGCTCTGCAGCTTGCGGTCGGGCCAGTCGAACAGCGTCTCCTTCAGCTGACCCTGCAGCAGCTTCAGGAAGCAGTGCGAGTCTGTGTGGTCATGGATGCTGCTGTGGAGGGAGAACACACACACACACACACACACACAGTCACTCAGGGATCCAGCGGCTGCTCTATGATGTTCTGATAGTGTGTGTGTTATCTGTCTTTACGAGCGCTCTGATCTGGACCTCTGGACTCGGCTATCAGAGCGTGATTATCTGTGTGCTAATATCTCTAATGGATGACGGATCAATAACCCAGTGATGTACAGCTGATCTGTGGAGTTACCTGCCGTGTCCTTCACCCCAGCACAGGATCATCAGGTTGAACTTTCCGTTCCCTTCATCCACGAGGTTCCTGGTGTACCTGCGCAAACAGAACACCCGCTCAGCTCAGTGTCAGGCGTCAGAGACTGAGATGAAAGTTCTAACACAGCTGCTGTTTCTGTTTTGGCCTTCAGCATCACCAGCAGCATCCCTTTAACATGCAGCCTGTGTGTGTGTGTGTGTGTGTGTGTGTGTCCTGCTGGAGGGAGCAGGATCAGCAGGGAATGTTGTTGTTGGGAATGTGCAGCAGGACTTTGTGTTTTTCTTCTGGAAGTCTGAATGAGACCGCAGGACGTGCCGAGAGCGGCGGGTGTGCGCCAGGAGCGACGCTCTGATTGGCCGCATTCAGCCCCGCCCCTCCGCCGAGGCTCCGCCCACACGAAAACATCAGCGGAGCAGAGTCTCGGTCAGAGCAACTGATCAGTGATGTCCGAGAGCAGCAGCAGAGTGCAGAAAAGCCACAGAGTAAAGCACAGGCAGAATGCTGCGGGTTTACTGTCTCTATCAGCTCGTGTCAGTGTCCTGACTCAGGTGTGTGAATATTCAGGAATACATTTAAACAGTGATTTACGTCTAAATGCAGAATATTTGCAGACAACAGCAGAATAACTGAAATAATAACAACAGATAAATAAAACAGATGAGTGTCTCGCTCACGGCACTGATGGTAACACTACTGCAGTGATTACCTGTACTGGTCGAACTTGGCGAACTTCATCCAGTCCTGCGGGTTGCTCTGGTAGGACTCCATCAGGTTCTGCACCTCCTCCACATTGATGGAGTCGCTCTGGAAGATCTGATGCAGAGTTTTGATCAGATCCTCCAGAGTCTCGGGCTTCATGACTTCAGTCTGCTCCATGTCCATCTCTAACTCAGCTCTGCTTCTGCTGTTTGGGGCTCTCCGGGGCACCGGGGTTGTTTTATACCGCGCTCGGGACCGGCGGACTGTACCACTGCAGGCAGGGAGGGGGAACACACCGACTTCAGGTAAAAACCGTTAATGAGCAGTAAATGCGCTCTCTCTGAGGTGTAATGTACACTTCAGTACGCCAGCACTGCTTTATCAAACACACACATTACACAACATTACACCTCTTGTATGTATGCGTTGTTCTTGAGTAAAGGACTCCCCCGTTACACTGTGGACTGATCCTCCTCATCCAGCCTGCGCGTGAACTCTTCATCATCACCGAGCGAATATTCCAGCAGTTATACAGCCACATATAAACACTGGTGGATGATGACAGTCGCTGTGGCACTGCCGTATCTGTGCTGTGAGCATGTCTGATTAGTGCTGCTGTTGTGTAGAAATCACTTTATTTTATATTTCATTTGATTAAACACTGAAGAAAACATCACGAGCACGCGCGCGTCAGAGCGGAGCGACCCGGCGGTGTTCATCCACTGACAGCCGAACACCGGCGAGAGAATAACAGCAGAAACCAAACACTCAGAGTATAGTCAACATGTCTTTATTTCACTATTAGTGTGATAATGAGCAGCTCTGCGCTGTGAGCTCTAGCGCCACCGTGTGGAGGAGCATCAGACAGACAGAAAGACGACACTTCACTCTGAACAGGAGAACACAGCACCATACAGGAGGAGCATGCGCATATGCAGAGTGCAGGAGATCTGAAACACTGCCCCTAACCGGGAAAAGAAAAAAGAAGTTCAGCCTGCCAATAGATTTACAATACAATCTATCTATCTATCTATCTATCTATCTATCTATCTATCTATCTATCTATCTATCTATCTATCTATCTATCTATCTATCTATCTATCTATCTATCTATCTATCTATCTATCTATCTATCTATCTATCTATCTGTCAGTCTGTCTGTCTATCCATATATATTCATCCATCCATCCATCTATACATACATACATACTATCCATCTATACATTCATTCATCCATATATCTATTCATCCATCCCTCCCTCCATCCGTCGATCCATCCATCCACCCATCTATCATCGATCCACATCAATCCATCCATCTTTCTATCCCTCCCTCCCTCCCTCCATCCATCCATCCATCAATCATCAATCAATCAATCAATCAATCAATCAATCAATCAATCAATCAATCAATCAATCAATCAATCAATCAATCAATCAATCAATCAATCAATCAATCAATCAATCAATCAATCAATCAATTCATCCATCTATCCATTCATCCATGCCTCCTTCCATCCATCTATGTTACATAATAGTTTAGATACTGATTGCCTTGTCACTTCATTCATCAGATAAAAATGATAAAATAATAATAATAATAAATAAACAGATGTTCAATTGTGTTTTTGTGGTGTTAAACGTGAAGAAATGAAGAATGTTTTTTTTTTTTACAAATGAAGAATGTCATATGAACGTGTTATTTGGTGTGACGTCACACATCTGGAGACTCACTATTGGCTGGACCAGTGATTGATGGCGGCCATGTTTTTTGTAGTTTTCTGTTTTTCCTTTTGTGTTCTCCGTTTTAGACTCTGCTGGAGATTGTTGTTATTTATTAATATAATACACCTCTAATCCTGAACAAGTCCTACATACTGCTAATGTATTTTACTGCAAAGTCAAAGCTTAATGTTGCTCTTAAGATCGTTTCTGAGACTTCTGTTTAACACACGTGACTTTTGGTGACTTTTATTTTGAAAGCGGCGCTGCGTCACCGGAACGCTCCTGAAGCGGAAGTCAGTGTGATGCTGCAGTTGACAGGTTTTTCCGCTGTGCAGCGCGTGAGTGTCATATCCCAGCGTTAGGGATTGATTATTGATTATTGATCGAGAATCAGCGACGAGTTCAGCCGCGGCTGGATCCGGAAACAGCGCAGAAGATGATCAAAGCCATCCTCATATTCAACAACCATGGCAAACCCAGACTGTCCAAATTCTACGAACACTACGTGAGTCACACACACACACACACACACACACACACACACACACACACACACACACACACTCTCTCTCTCTCTCTCTCTCTCTCATCTGCGCTCACATTACTGACATCATCATCATCATCATTCTGCTTCTGAGTGTGTGTGTGTGTGTGTGTGAGTGTGTGTGTGAGATCAGTATGATCGATCAGCTGATCTGTCAGGGCTGTTACTGATTTATTATTGATCTAATGTTGATTATAACGACAGAGAACCGAAGCGGGAGACAATCAGCTGACAGACAACAAGGAGCTGTGTGTGTGTGTGTGTGTGTGTGTGTGTGTGTGTGTGTGTGTGTGTGTGTGTGTGCGTGTGTGTGTGCGCGTGTGCGTGTGTGCGTGTGTGTATATGTGTGTCTGTGTGTGTGTGTGTGTGTGTGTGTGTGTGTGTGTGTGTGTGTGTGTGTGTGTGTCTGTGTGTGTGTGTGTGTGTGTGT